CAGTCTTTCTACGAGATCTCTTCATGGAGCTGCGTGGACCATGTCGCGATTGGTCCACAGATGCTTGCGATTTCGTCCGTATACTGGAGGCCGGCTACCTTCCAGCCTCGACGGTGAGCTTACTTTTCTTTCGAGCAGTAACAAACGCTGATAGCGAGCAGCATTCTTTTTTGTCGCAAGCCTCATCGGTTCGATCTACAGCCTGGTTTGCGATGCAACAAAAACTGGCCGTTTCGTCTACCTGCACTCTGGAGGACTTTTAGCCCGCTTGAATTGAAAACTCTCTTTGCAGAGACCGTCTTCAAAAATCTGTTCATTAGACCCTATGAGCCCTACAACAAGGCTTCTCAGCTCACAGAAGTTTGCAAATGTGTGCCGGACGAGCACGCCACACGCCGCTGGTATCACTTCTTTGGACACGCCGATAATACCAAGGTCTCGTAATGAAAGCTAAGTTTCTTAGAGGTCGGCAGATGAGAAACGCAAGTATGGCACGTTTCTTTTTAACATGTTGCGTTGTAGAACAGACAGCGACGTGTGTACAACCACGTTTATGAGCCGCAGCAGCGCCGCAATAGTGTTGGGCGGCTGGCCCAGTGCCACGGCCCCAGTGGTCATGGATATTGTTGGCCAGAAATGGTGGCTAATTCATTGGGAAACACTGGTCACGGAATACAAAACCCATAGACTTCATGATGAGACGTTTGGCATTTACCAATATTAAGTTTCGCGCACAAATTGAATGGTAGTTCTATGAAGCTTGATCTTGTTTTGAGGTAATGTAAACCAATCTGGTATATGTAGTTGGGATGGAGAACTCATGCCGCCTAGAAACGCTCCATCTTGGACTGCAGCGTTTCTAATTGTGTGGTTGTCGTCATTGTTTTCCATACTGCATCGTATAAACGTGTAGCACAATCGCGAACAGCTGACAGCTTCATCTGCAAAAGCGTGTTCTCTTCCTCCAGTCTTTCTACCTCAAGCCGACGGATAGTGTGGTCTTGTTGCTCTCGCGTTTGAGTTGTGATGTGGCTTAGCAACTCATCCAACTCAAAGTTTGAGTACACGCTGGATGTCTGTCTTGTGTGCCCATCCATAACAAGAGCTACAGTACAATATGGGAATCGGTTGGCTTATTTCTAAGTCGCTATATATGGATATGTACCAGTCCAGGCCACGGTTTAACTTGTACCGTCTTCCGATGCGGCATGGATAGGCCGATTGCTGCTGGACCGCTTTCAAAAGTTGCTTTCTCATTGCTCTGGAGCGAGAATCAGTTTCTGGCTCCCAAGTGGAAAAAAAATAGAACGAATCGAGAGGTAGTTTCCGTCTGCGGAGAACTATCGAATTTTGACAAGGGTGTACCAGCAGCAGCAGTCCTGAACAGCCTAAACAAGCCGTTGTCATTGTTATTTGTGGTTGAAAGCGTAGCCAGGCGTTGACGTCTGCTGGTCATAAACTTAAAATTTAGAGGTGCAGATCTCTAGGGTTGGGCGGGAATAGGCCCCCTCCGAGGAACTGCAAACTTCTCTATGAACTAAGCGCCAAACTCCTCTGCCTCAGAAGAAAAATGCGATAATGTCAGGGTCTTGGTTCATTAATACTGTAAAATCGCTGCAGCCTGAATGGTCGCACTTGAGGATGGAGGTTACCTCAGAAAACCGTCTTGCGGAATGCTTGCGGTGCTCAAAATTCAAGGGTTGCGCAAGCTGCTAGGGTGGAAAAATAAATCGTCACGATGGAGTGGCGGCGCAAGCGCCACCAATGAAGGACTGCAGGAAAATGCAACAAGGGAGTCTAGTCGCCTTTTTGGCGCGATTGCGCCTGCGATGTACTTCAAAGCGATATAAGCCGATCACGCGCCGACGATCGTTTCAGGACGGCAAATCATGGACTGTTAAATGGAATTTGTTCATCAACCAAAACCCTTTCTTTGATTCATAAATGTTTGTTCAAGCAGCGTTTTACAGCAATAAAAGCCAAAAGCAAAACCAACATCTACGAGGAAATCATGTATGCCATTACTTTGAAGAGAAGTTTGCGCAAATTAGACACCAAGGAGCCTTTGAGGTGAATGAAGGGCCACAATATACGGTGACCACCATAAAGCGTAAAGCGGCTCGCAAGACATTACTAGACATCTAGTCTCGCAACGCCAAATGTTACATTATAGATTGCGGACCACGAGGGGTGAAAGACGAAGCAGCCTAGGCCAGCGATGGTACTGTAGGCGCGCACCGACGAACCTGCACTTGGGCATATCTAAAGAGCCCTCTTCACTAGAGGCCGCTCAGCATGAATCGCTCCTGAAAGCAGTAGCGTGGCAATATTGGGTGCTGCTTTGTGGGTGGTCATGCTGCGCTCTACTTTCTTGCTTGATTGTGGTGACTGGTTTTCTTGCTGGTGGTATGCTTGTCAGCAAAGCCGCCAATTTTTGCTCCATCTAAGGCTTCAAAACACCTACAAGTACTTGTCTAGTGGCTTCCATTGCTCATTTACTACATTAACTTTCTGCCATGGACGAACCCCAGCAAGAGAACAGTCGACTTTGCGAGCAATTTGCAGCATACATTACCCAGAGTAACGCTCAATTGCAACATGAGCGTGAACAAAGCGAAGCACGTCTGCACCATGTCAGTGTATATGCAGAGGAGCAACGACGTCAACTGGAGGCACGCGTGAAAGAGTGGGAGACGTTGCAGACAGAAGTGCAACAGCTTCGCAGCGATAAGCAGGTACTCACGAACGTGATTACATATCTCCAGCGGGAAATGAGGACCCAAAGATGCTGGCTAGAGGATTTGCGACAACAGCTAGTGACGCAAAACCAGATTATTCGTATGATGAGCCGCAGTTCTCGTCGAGTTTCTCGTACAAGCCCTTCACTACCGCTGATTCACCATGAGGAGCCGCTTCAAGAACAATCACAGCAGGCAGAGTTGAACTTGTAACGATAAGTTCATCCTTTGAAATCTATCATCTTTTTTCACTTGCTTCTACTGTGACTGATGGTTGAGAAAGTGACCAACAATCACTTCGGTTAGTAATAGAAATGCCTTCTGTCATTATTATCATTCTAGGCGCAGTCTGCAAATGGAGCCCAAAACCTTACGCCTGAACGACCTAGACCTTACCATGAGTTCCATAGCAGACCAAATGGGAAGCACTTACGACGACAGTGACAGCGTCGTGCCGGCTTTCGGCCTGCTGCAATGAGTATTCCGAGCCTACAGCAGCGGTTTCGAGCATTGTCTTCCAGAGTGCACAGGTAGTAAGACAGCCACACGATGTGTAAGTCGTACTGTATCTCCACAAATCAAGGTAAACGCAGCTTCATTAACGTTGAAACCAAACGGCGGATAGCTTTGAACGGACCCATTGTCTTAGGTATGCGTGCGGTCCTGGAAATGAAAGACGTAGGCTCGCGGGCGCAGCTATCGGGTTTTCAGAAGCACGAATAAGTGCTGTTTCTGTCGTTAATCTGCGAAATACTCTAAATCAATGGAAGGAATACTTGTAATGGCTATCTGGGCATTACAACATGGGGAATTTGGTGCAGAATTGCAAAACGAAAAATTATATGCAGAATTGCAAAACGGAAAATTGTATGCAAAATTGCAAACCGGCAAATTTAATGCAAAATTGCGAAACGGAAAATTTGGTGCAAAATTGCAGAAACGGAATTTGGTGCAAAGTGGCAAACCGGAGAATTTGGTGCAAAATTGCAGAACGGAAAATTTGGTGCAAAATGGCAGACCGGAGAATTTAGTGCAAAATGGCAGAACGAAATTTTAAGGGCGCAAGAGCGTCACGTGGTCTTGTAAAAGGGCGTAACGAGTGGAGCTCCGTGGTCAGCTATTTTGCATTTGTTTTTCTCTGAGATTGAATAAGTTACTTCCCAGGCTTGTCGCAATGCCTGAGCTACGTGCCCGTATCAAAAACAACTTGCTGGCCCTCGGCACTCGTGACAGGAAAAATGACTCACAGGCGTTTGAGGCTGGGTGCGTGCTTGTCTAGGCGACGCCGCGCCTCTCCAAGACGCCCCTTTTGGGTTGAAACTGGCAATCATATATCGAGCCCCCTTGACGCATATCAACTACTTCGTCAGCGACCCAGAGACGTTTTTAAAGATATTGCGGCACGGTACAACTGAGGTAATCGTCGAATGCACAAATGTTGAGCGCTTTGTTAATCTGTCTATAGCCCCCCTTTGTCGTGGCCATTTAGGGTCTCCATTTTTTGAACTTGCCTGATGAGTGGCGACTGCGAGCATGGGACCGGAAAGCATATTCAAAATACTAGTCAAGAGCTTTCTGAATTGCAGATATGTGCAACAGCTCTCTCGGTCCAGACTAAAAGTTTCCGACGAGAGTCTGATTATTGGAAAGAAACCACTGACCGGTGCGAATTGACCCGCCCAAATCCGCCGTATATCTTGGAAGCCCAGCCTCGTCATCTGGAGAAGCAGGATCAGTTCTCAAGAGCTACACAATAAAGGGCATTCGATTTCGGACGACTAAAGCCCGAAATTGAAATAATCCGATAATATACCGATCGGTACAGTCCTAGCATTGACTTGCTGAAAGCTGCGACAAGGTTCGGAGCGATTCTAGACGGGGGCACAAGGGGGGGGGGGCATCATGTAGTCTGGGCCTCAGTATTACTGCCTTGGCATTTATCCGCGATTGAGTTCCGCAAAGCCTATTATTAGAGACCCTGCTGAAGATTCCACGTGGAATTTTCAAGTCATTCTGCGCGATTAGATCTTGCCCTTTTGTCTCACTACGTTTGTCTACACTGCGTCACAAGGCGCTGACCCTCCCTCGTTCACTTAATTTCTGCACTCAGTATATCGGTCTGCAACATTCCTTCATTAGTCGGTGTTTGTCCTAGCTGCTGAAAAGCTGGGGTTAGACTTATACACATCCCTCACTGCAGATCAGTGCAGAGTCACGGCAACATGAAGAGCCACGCCGACATGGACGTTGTTTATTTCAGCAATGAATTTCCTACAGGCGAATTGCAGGCCATATTCCGACAATTATACAACAAACAGTCAAGAAAGCAGCCACAATGTGCTCGCTCAACTCATTTCCCGAGCAACGGCGGCGGTGAAGAACGAGATCCAGTCGCTTCCAACTGGACTTCTGCGACTCTTCTCGTCGTTCGAAAGTCTTTTCGAATGGGCTGACGATTCGAATCTCCGTACTGGTCCGCTGTGCGGAGCAGTCGACGGCGTTCTTTTGGTTCTTGTGCAGTTGGCCTTGTACATCAAGTAAGCAGTCTCTGTTTACGCATCCCGATACTCACCAGAAGCTAACTAAAGCAGTCATATCGGAGATGATTTTGCCCGCCATCGAAATTTGAAGCAGGCTCACTTAGCTGCCCTTGGAGTTGGGCTACAAAGTGGTGCAGCAGTCTCCATGGCGCCTGTTGTTGCAGATATGCCGCTGCATGGAGCCGAGGCCATTGTCCTTGCTTTCCGAATGGGGATCCATGTCCAGTCTATTTCAAGTCAGCTCGAGTCTCAAGACGCTTCCGAGCGCCTCGAAACATGGGCGTATGTAGTCCACAATGTTGACCCTGGAACGGTTCAAGCCGAGCTCGATGCTCTTCATGGTTCAATTCCAGGCCCGAACACGAACAAAATTTTCATCAGCGCAATCAGCGAAACGTCTGTCACCATTAGTGGCCCGCCTTCGAGGCTTAAGAGTCTTTTCCAGAAGTCAAAACCGTTTCGGGATGCTACATCAATCGCATTGCCAGTTTACGGAGGTCTGTGTCATGCTCCCCATATCTACGGTTCACATGACATTCACGCAATTGTCCACAACGGCGTCAAAGAATTGCATGCCAAACTGGAGCAGTCATCCGAGCCGATGAATATGCTACATTCTACCAGTAGTGGAGATCCTTACCACGCTGCGAATGGAGTGGAACTGTTTGAACTTGTCGTTGCTGAGCTTCTTACCAAAGCAATAGAATGGAACAAGGTCATTACAAGCCTAGTCAGCTGTGTAAAGTTCAGTTCCTTAGCCAGCATCACCCTCAATTGTTTTGGAAAATCCCTTCCTTTGCATGATCTCGAGGAAACCTTGAAAGAGAGTTTGACAGATACAAAAGTTTCTGTGAGAAGCCTCTTATCATCCTTGCAAGATCCAACTTCGAGGACCTCGACGTCTCGCGGGTTTAAACAAGCAAAACTTGCCATTGTTGGCATGTCCTGCCGACTGCCTGGTGGCGCTACAGATACTGAAAAGTTCTGGGAGGTTCTTGAGAACGGACTTGATGTATCGCGCGAAATCCCGCCAGATCGATTTGACATTGATACGCATTTCGACGCTGAAGGGAAAGACATGAACAAGACCATGACGCGCTATGGCTGCTTCATCGATGACCCTGCATCTTTTGACGCTGTTTTTTTTAACATGTCTCCTCGAGAGGCATTGGCTGTCGACCCACAGATGCGTCTTATGTTGGTAACATCATATGAAGCTTTAGAAAGAGCAGGGTTTATCGGCAATCGCACCCTATCCACACGGTTGGCACAGAAATGGCTAGCGAGGCCAAGAACTCGTTTCATAGATGGGCGCAGCCACACAGCGGAGCGAGGGGATCAGCCTTTATCAGGACGAGTACAGAAAACACCTCCTTGCTCGACCCAAGCAAGGTCACAGACCCACGATCCTGGTGGTGGTGGCTTGAGCCGACGCAAAGGAAGTGTTACCCAGCCCTACCTGTTATGGCATCAGATGTCCATCCCAGCCATGTCGGCTGAGCTGGAACGCCTGTTTTCGGGCATGCAGGTCATCTTCACAGACCATAGGAGCCGTTTAGGCATTGAGAGCATCGAAACGACCAAATGCCTCAAACCATGGCTCGGCAAAAGCAGCACAGCACATCTTCCGGATGATAGCCTTGATGCGTTCGTGTGTATCACCTATTCGCCATATATTGTGATCATACTATATAATTTACATGTGATATGACGATGGATCTGTCTATGCTATGTATAACTACTATAGCATGACCTGTAAAGGTTTCATCATATATAGTAAGATCATATTGTTAGGCACGCTGACCATGGCAAAGTGAAAGCCTTACTCGAGCTTGTTCTAGCTTTGTAGGGCATTAAGAGCAAATAGGGCGACTTGGCACTTCGTCAATCGAGCACTCTCCTCGACTGACACAGTCATCGCTTTGCTTTGCACAACTCACCCACAGGGACTTGAAGCCCCAGCCGTTGGACCACAGTCCGCGGCAGGTACCTCTGCTTCCGTAGCCGTAGCCGTACCAGTCGCCCTTGCAATCGGCATTGTGCCAGTAGCTGATTCGAATTTCGCCGTCCGGGCAGCTTCCGACGCTTGGGATTTCGAGGCTGCCGACAGCGCAGTCCGTGTTGATACAGACACCATTCCCCAGCCTGATGACGACGTTGTTGTCGACACTACCAGCGCAATTGGTCTTGTTTGTAGTGAGTCTTGACGCTGAATGCCACACTGTCCGAGATTGGGCTGTACTCGAAGCTCGGGAGAAAAGCGAGAACGGTTCGGTCGCCGGACAAAAGATACGCCTTGTACTTGCCAGCTTTCATGGAACTGGGAGGTGTGAGCTGGAGGGAGCCTGAGCTTTCTTTGGCGTAGTCCCA